TTTAAAATTTGCAAAGGTTCAGAGATTTTGTCCACATAAGTACATAACTACGGCACTAAAACATCACTCCATATTATAAGAGCAGAAACACAAGCCCTCTATTAGTTTTGAGAATGTAGATGGAAATAGAACAAGAAACAAAATGATTTTCCAAACATTTAATAGCTTTGAGACTGAAAGTAGAAACAAATTATCTACACCAATGTGAAACTACAAGATTAGCTAGCCGCATGAGTATAATTGGTCTAGTGAAAAGAACTGCAGTATACCTTACTGACAAGAGCATTTAGCTTCTTTACAATCACAACATATAAGCCTATGTCTTATGATGCACTTATAAATTAAAAAGATGGATAAAATATCTGTGGATAAAATAAAAGCAGAGAATATTCAAATCCATTTATTCAGCATTTTCCCCTTTTAGATATCTACATGTGATATGTTTGTTTGAAAAGGGTGGAAATTCATAATATAATTCTGAGTACTAAACTATTTCCTAACATGGTTTTCATGGAATTTAACCTCAAAGGCCTAAGTGTGTATATAATGATCAAATCAACTTCTCCTAAAAACGAAACTATCATGTTTCCTCTAGAACATTCAAGATCAAAGTCCAAAACAATTCTTTCAAGAAACTGAAATGTCTAAGAACAATAATTTGATGCATCAATTCAAACTAAACATGACATTAGGGGGGGTTAGCTTGAAAATTGAATTCAGGACTAAAATAGTTATTTGAACATGTCTTGTAGAAGTAGTGGTGTTTGGATATGGATAATCTGGAATAAAAATGAGAAACAAAACACTACTACAATAAGAAACTAGGTACCAGCATTTCTTTGTTCTTTTGCATCTTCATTGCCTATTTTTCTCAAACAAACTCCCGAATAAGCCTTTTTTCCCCAATCATCAACGTCTTCCATTAAACTAATCTAATAATCTGCTCCATTAAAATGCTATATTCCTAATTGTCACTAGTCACCACTCTAATATATGGCTGGTCCTTAGTCTTTTGCACCCTGTTGATGAAATCGTGGCATCAGGTTCATCTTACTAAAAAAAATCTAATTCTCCATTTTGTTTTGTTGGGCGCTTGGGCGGCTGGGCCCCATATGGATTAGCCTTTTAATTCACCAATTTAGTAATTCTAACCCTGTTTTCAGGAGTCAGTCTAAAAATTGATGAATATCCAAATCTTATGAATCACAAAACACATAGTTTTGAGTCTACCAATTAACAAAAAACTGGACCTGTTTTTAATGATTCTCTTGGGCCTGGAGCCCAAGCCCATGTTACACACCTCCTATGACCGGTTCTACTCCCTCCATCCTTTCTTGTCCATCTCCAATCTCAAATACATCTACCGATTTTATGGGTACAAAATTAAAGAGGAGAGGGGGAGTGAAAATTAGAGTTAGTGATAAGTACAAAACTAATAGTAGGGAGAGAGAGAGAGAGAGAGAGAGAGATTTGTAATTCCTCCCAATAAGTTAATACCATTATTATATGATAAGGAATCTATTTAAAACAATCAACAATTTTAAAAGTTTAAATCTCTTCCAAAACTCCCCAAATTTTCTTTGGCCAGGGCTCTTCAAAGGAACTGCCTCTCTATGCCTTGAGAGAGAGAGGTAAGGTGTCCATAGATCTCATCCTCACGTCCTACCCCGGAGTGAGACTTTTTTATACTCTCGAGTGAGACTTGGTATTTTTGGTTTGTTTTGGTTTGGTATTGTTTTGTGATAACATAAGTAAAATTCTAAACTTGCAGAAGTTGAGGGAAGAAAATGAAGGAATACAAATGAATAGACATTGGGGGAAAAGAAGAGAAGCATTGGTATCAGAGGTTTGAGGTTGGTCAATATTTGAAAATCAAGGGTTGATCAAAATTTCATTCTTATTAGAGACACTAAGAATGCAAACCAAACACTAAACATACTTTTAACCCCAAACGATGTGGACCCAAGCTAATTTTGAATGAGAGGAACTAGTGGACATTAAAAGGACTGGTATTTGTAAAAGGTCTGGTGATCGCTAGAAATAGAATTAAGGATCCTCTTGTGTGAATACTTTTTTTTATTGGACTCGTAAGAAGCTTCCTAATAGCAATTGTTCTATGGTAGATTACTTAAACCTAGTTAAGATTGAATACTTTGTTTGAAGGCCTTGTGCAACTTCTGCCTTGGTGTGTGTTGAATATATTCTCTCTACTTATTCCCTTTGATTCATGAATGCATTTCCATGTTAAATTGAATCATGCCGGGCAAATGAATTCCTGGTAAATAAACTTGAAAATCCAATAGGAAAAATTGCCATGAGTTGAGGGGTATGTGATAGTGTAGCAGTATTTCTTCTCATAGTATTAACACATAATTAGATGGCATATTCTATTACAGCATATAACACATAGTAAGCATTTTCAACACACCTCAGAAAAGGTGCCAGTCAACTTGTTCAACAGTGTAGATTTTCCAACAGAAGGAAAGCCAACCAGACCAACTCTAGCATCACCACTTTTTGTAACATCAAAACCTTCACCAGCACCAGCCCCACCTTTTGATGGGGGTGCAAGAAGATCCCTCCGCAGTTTTGCAAGTTTAGCCTATCATCACAAACAAAATACAAGACTTGGTTGAGATTAAAAGATAGCGGATGCATGAATACATTATTATTTTGTTACACCAATGTCATTATGTTCCTATGTAACAATCCTAAGCGGCTAACAGGTGCAAAGCTAGAACGATGTAGCTGTAAGATCCTAGTCAATTGTCATCGTAGTTCACATGCTTATTAGCTTACTTTGATTGGAGTTTATTAGTCCTCAAGATATTACCCAATTCGACCATGCTACACTTACACCAAAATTTGCACCCCAAACTTACACCAAAGGTATACACCAACATTTTGATGGTTCACACTGACACAGAGTGTTGGTGTGTTAACAAAAATTTACACTGACACAAAGTGTTGGTGCGTTAACAAAAATTAACATTACACCAACACAAAATGTTGGTGCACACCTGCGGTGTACAAATGGGCTACAAGTAGCTTTGTCCTACCCAATTAGATGCCCCTGATTCCCAATTGATCCCTGGAATTGGTATAAAACCATAGTCATTCCAACTCATTTGTAACATCTACACATTCAATATAATATTATAAATTGTGGAACTTGAGATCTTGTGAGCTAGGGATCTTTTGGAAACAACCTCTATATGTTTGAAGGTAGACAAGGTCAGCATACATCTACCCTCCCCCAACCCCACTTGTGGGACTTCACTGAATTTGTTGTTATTGATGTTGGTGAGCTTAAAATCTCGGCATTCAACAAATCTCTATAGTCAAAGTTACCGAGACATATCATGTTGCATCAATAGTAATTAACTGTCCTTGGTATCACACCCGTCTTGCTAGCAAAAAGGTTTTAGCTGAGCAAAAACCTGGCAGATCGATGCACCCCATAGTTTTAAAATCCTCCCTCCCCCCACGCCCCACCTCCCCCCCCCCCCTCATTCCCCCGGTACATAAGTGATGATTGAGCAATTTCCTTGTTAACATGACACAATATGCAGAAGGAAGCACTACCTTTAACAAGCCAAGGTGATGGGCAGTAGCTTTATTCTTCTGAGTCCTTGCCATCTGCATCAAAGAAATAGAATGAAATAAATCATTGATCGAGAATGGTGCTCACCATGAAAATATTACAAAGCATCTAAACTGCACGAGTTCAATCACTTTCACATTCTTTTCTCCTTCATGGATACAGACAAATTTAAGACAAAAATAAAAAGACGCCATTATTTTAATCCGCAAAAGAAAATGACAATATGAATTGTCTAGTGGATCACCCGTATAGTTCTGTTTTCTGTCATTTTTTTCTTCTTGAAACTTTGATTACTTATAAAGATAAGAACCAAAAAAAAGACGTATCCTACCGCCATTGGTAAGGACTGACAAAAAATGAAATGTCTGCCTGAATCTCATCTCGGGATTTGTAATCCATTTCATTTACTCTCACAGTCTCACTGAACAAGAAATTATCTTAAGCAATCAATTTATTAAGGTATGGCAACCATTGGGCCGACTTCTAATTTGCTCTAAGCCAAAGGCTACTGCTGGGAAGAAATAAACCCATTGGGTAGCCAACACAATCTTGGTGATTCTTTATGCAAACAAAGTAATCACATGCGGTTAAAGCAATGAGCGGGCACATAACTAATACAGGGAAAGAGAAAAAAAGAGAATGAAACTGAAATTGAGCATAACGAGGTATGGAAATGGGCTAATATTATCCTAAATTTGATAAAAGTAGCAGAGTTAACAAGCGCTTGTGCGACAATTCGAATCAGGTACATATTCTGCGTACTTGATAATTACCTCATCTTCGATGTCTTTGATTTTCTGCATCACGGTGGCCATCCTTCAAAATCGCGTATGAAACCGGCTGCTCTATGAGAGTGGCAGAGCTATCGACGGCGGTGGTAGCAGATGATTCACCAGAACGGAAAGGGAAGGACCGTGTCGGATTGACTTGAGGAAGAAGACGAGGTTAGAACAGGATTTTAGGGTATGTTTGGATTGAGGTAGGTAAATTTTTATTAGGTAGGTAATGGTAGGTAATTCAAGGTGGGTAATTGAAGATAATATGTTGAAAATTTGTGTTTGGATATTTAGTAGGTAATGTGAGGTAGGTAAAACAATAAAATTACTTAATTGTCCTTTTGCTTGTTTTTCTTTATTACGTGTTTCACTCTCATTCTCTTCTACGTCATCATCAGGAGTCCAAGCCTCGTCAGGATCCCCACGTAGCAAATATTTGTGTAACATCAAAAAAACAAGAAAAAATAGCAAAAAAACGAAAAAAGAAAAAAGCAGCAAAAAAATACAACGAAAAAAACAGCAAAAAAACCCTCCAAAAAAATTGAAAAACAAAACCAAAAAAACATAAAAAAAACCAGAAAAAACAAGATATTTCAATAATTAGAAAAAAAACAGCATAAGAAAAACAGAAAAAAACAGAAAAAAAGAAAAGCAAAAAAATTTAATACACGAACACTTGGAAACAGAAAAAAAAAAGAGAAGCAAAAAAAATCAATACATGAAGGGAGAGAAAATCTGCATCGGAGGAGGAGCTGGAAAGCTGCGGCAGAGGAAGATCTGAGATGGGAGAGGAAAATCGTCGAGCGGCAGAGGAAGATCGGCGATGGGAGAGGGAGATCGTCGCACTGGATCTTCGATGGGAGAGGAAGCAGCGGCGTCCGGCGTATGCAAAGCTGGAGAATACGAGAAGGGCAGAGCAGGGAACGAAAATTCATTACCTCAGTTGTTCGCCAAATTCGCGGTCACGAAAAAGGCACTGTTTGGAGGTAGGGTTACCTCCCTCTACCTCCGCTCACCTAACCCGTTTTTCTTCCCAAACGAGGTAAAGTGTAAAAATTACCTCACTCTACCTCGCCCTACCTCCAACCAAACACTGCGTTAGCTTTTAGCTTTTAGCTTTTAAGAGCAACTCCAACGAGTCATTTATAAATGAGTAAAGTGTAAAATCTAAAAGATTTACTTTATACTTTTATACTGTACATAAATTGGGTCTCCAACGCATGCTTTATAAAATAGAGTGAATTCTATTTTCCCTATCCTGTCCATAAATAGACGATACAATAGGTAGTGTATTCCACTATTCCATCTATTTTACTTCTTTTTTGTCTCTTGTCTTCCCCTTTGTTCTCTTCCTTGTTGTTCGATAGTCTTGGAGGCCAACCATAGTTGACAAGTAGGGCAAGTGAATTTCTTTTCTGCAAAAATTTTCTGGAGGAAAGCATCCATCGATTCAACAAAATTTTTTAGAAAGAGCAAATATGGATTGCAAAAAAATTTCTATCCATTGCTTCTGTTCTTCTCTCTATATCTTGCCAGAACTTTTATATTTTTTGTTTGGAAATTTTGCTGCATATTTTCCAAGATGTAATTTTTCAGAATTTGGAGAAAGTTTTGACAAAATAAAAATATAAACTATATATATATATATATATATATATATGGATTGACTCCAGTGAGATGACACATTACGGCGCGATGACATGCTTCGGTCAGATGAAGCAAAGCTCACCACACTACACTACAAAGCTCACCAGTGGACAATGCAAAGCTTACCTGGAAATGAAGCAAAGCTCACCACTTTGAACCCCAAAACTCACCTTTTTTTATTTTGAAAATTAAAAAATTAATTAAAAATAAAATAGCAACACCGGTCAACCACCGGTCCACGGCGGCGGCGATCGGCGGCGGCGGCCGGCGACTGGCGGCGGCGGCCGGCGACTGGCGGCGGCAGGCGGCGATCAATGCTGGCGGTCAACGGTCAAATCTAGGCAGCACCCCTTCCTTTGATTTTATTTTTTCAAAAAAAATTCAAAGTGTTGAAAAAATATGGTGAACTTTGCCTTACTGTTTGGTGAGCTTTGTAGTTGTGAACTTCACCTATCTGGGCAGCTACAACACATGCAATCACCCATTGATAAGCCACTTTGCTTTTGCAGATGACCTAGTGGTTTTCCTCAATGGGGACACTAGGAACTTGAAAAAATTTAGAAGGATTTTAGAGGACTGTCAGAAAGGGTCTGGGCAGCAAGTGAACCTTAACAAGAGCAGCTTTTATACTGGGAAGAAGGTCAACCAAACTAAAATTGCTTCAATGTCCAGAAGTCTATGTATGGATCATGGGACACTCCCCTTCACTTATTTAGGTGCAACTATGGTCAAAGGCAAGTTAAGAAAACATCATTGTTCTAAGCTCCTGAATCACTTTGACAGATATCTTAACTCTTGGTTTAACACCACTCTCAATCCCCATGGGGAGACTTGTGTTGATCAAACATGTACTCTCATCCATACCTTTACATATCACAGCTGTCCACACCATCCCCTAATCAATTATACAGATTCTCCACAGAAAGATGGCAAATTTCCTATAGGGATTCAAGAATGGTAAACCTAAATACCACTAGAGCAAGTGGAACAACCTGTGTGTACCAACTAATGAAGGAGGACTTAACTTGAGAAGCCTAGAAGAATTACAGGAAGCCTACTCCATCAAACTATGGTGGAAAGTTCAAACAGACAACACTAAGTGGGCTAAATTCATGAGAACCAAATACCTTAGACAGTCTGATTTTAAGGAAAGAATTTATGACTATCTGGGCCAAGTCACAATCGAATGTCGTGGGCGCTTGTGTGTTGAATGCACTATAAGGCTAGGGTATGCGCCTCTTCTAACACCAATTGGTTTTAAAAGAGTTGGTAGCGCCTGAGGTCCTACAAGTGGTATCAGAGACAAGGTCAAGAGTTCGATTCCCAGCGGGAGCAATTGATGAGGGGGAGATTGGTTGCCATGTGTGCAGCAATTGTCCCGTGGCGGAGGCTATGTGGGCCAAGTCACAATCGAATGTCGTGGGCGCTTGTGTGTTGAATGCACTATAAGGCTAGGGTATGCGCCTCTTCTAACACCAATTGGTTTTAGAAGAGTTGGTAGCGCCTGAGGTCCTACACTGTTTAACTTGGAAGAGAATCTGCAGAATCAATACCACTGCCAGGGAACATACTTCAGAGGAAGGAGATCACATCAGCTGGGGTGAGGGGGATTTCTCACTTAAAAAAGCCTATAACATTTGTAGAATGTCTAAGCCTACTCAACTCAATTTTTCATACTGTTGGAATAATGCTCAAATCTCTAAGGTAAAATTCTTCCTTTGGAAAGCATTGAACTGTTATCTACCGTTCTCTGATAACCTAAAACGCATGGGGTTTCATGTACTATCTATCTGCCACCTCTGCAAGTACAATGAGGAAACCATTGACCATGTTTTCCTACAGTGTAACTGGATCCAGAATTTGTGGCATTTCTTTGCAGAAGCAGTAGAGGGACCAAGATCAAGACAATCTTTAACCCTAAACCAACACGTCATGGAATGGAACTTATCCCACAGAAGAAGGACACTAAAAGGTCAACTACGCATCATCCTCCTAGGGATCATTGTATGGCACATTCGGAAGGAATACAATAGAATAATCAACGACAATGGTTTCATTAACATCAACAAGGTTCACTATAAAATTCTAAATACACTCAAGGATTGGAGCTGGAAAAACAGACGGAAAAAATGGATGCTAAGGGATAATAATCTAGCAAACCTGGGTTTCAATTTTTTCTTCTTGTCTGGGAAAGATTTGAAAGGAAGAGTTCCTGCGCTCCAGATCGACCCACAGAGGAATGGTGAATGCTCGTATCGCAGAGGAGAGGGCTAACTTCCAAGTTTCTTGGAGTGAGTACGAGAATAGTTGGACATCTAGATTTGGTACTATGTAAGAGTTTAAGCTTTTGTCCTTATTGGTGCTACCTTTCCTTTTCATTGGATTTTGTGTTTCTTTGTATTATTCCTTACTTTCGGGGTTAGGTCGGGTCTCCCCAAACGTGTTTTGAACGTTTACTTTCGGATATTTGGTCTAGTCCTCTCCGAACGTGTACTAAAATAGTTTATTTAATAATACTTGGTAAGGGCTGCCTGGACCTTACCCCACCACAATTGGTGGAATTTTCGGGTTATATATATATATATATATATATATATATATATATATATATATATATATTTTAAAATTAAAAAAATAATTATAATAACCTTGCCAGCCAATGTTCGTCCCCCGGGATCCAGGCAATTGGAGCACTGATGGGGCCCCGGGCAATTTGTGGGCTCCGTCTATCGGGTGATATTCTTCAGGTTACTTTCGGGTTAGATTTCGGGTTGGGGTATTTAGACGTTTGTGAAGGGTCCCCCAGTGGGTAGTAAAGACGATGAGGATGGCCAGCACGCTTAACTCTCTTAAAATTCCCCCAAAGTTGCTCCTTCTAAGGATCGAACCCGGGTGGTGTGGTTCGCCAATCAACCCTGTGACCATCTCTACAGGGGGAACCACATATATATATATATATATATATATATATATATATATATATATATATATATATATATATATATATATAACACCACTCACTTCCCCACCACCCATTTTTATATTTTTTTATTTTTTTTTGAATTTCTTGCCTTTTTTGTGGACAAGGAGGGGTGGGGGACAAATGGGGTACACATTTGGTGTACCCCTAGCATTTTTAAGTTATAAAAATGTATAATATCAATGTCATGGTTGGAGTAGAGATGGAAAAATTAGAAGCTAAAACACTGTTGAAAAGCTAGATTGACATTTAGCTTTTAATTTTTTAGACTCTCCCTCGGAGATGCTCTAAGTTTTAACTTATTTATCTACTCCCACGATGACATCTATATTATACTTTATAAATATTTTTATTATTTAATTATAATAAATATATTTAATTAATATTCATATAAAATGGAATAAAAATACTAAAAGATTATTAAAATAAATATGATATATTTCTGATTTCTTTTATTTATTAATTTTTCACTCTTCTTGTTCTTAATACAGTATTTTGTACAGATCTTAAGTCTCTTATTTATCGTGAAGAGGCTTAGTGGTAACACTATTACAAATAGTATACATACTATACAAATGAAAATTTGATGGTGATAATAGAAAATTTGTTCCTACAATTATGATGGATATGTAATCTCATGTGTGTATGATTTGGTAGCATCAACTCTTGTATTGCAATGCACATTTACCCTTTTTGGAATATCAAAATAAATAAAAAAAATAAACTGAATAAGTGTGCAATTGAGTAACACTAGTACAAAAATGACCAAATAAATCGCCTCATTTGCATCGTTAAGCTAAACAAACGATGTAAATACAAAAAAAAAATCGCGTATCGCTTAGCTTTTGGATCGATTATCCGTAATAACCGATGCAAAAAGTATTTGAATCGGTTATTTACAATAACCGATTTAAAAGCTGACCATCTTTTGGATCGGTTATTCCTTATAACCGATTTAAATACCTTTTGAATCGGTTATTAGTAATAACCGATCCAAAAGAGTGTGATAAAATTTGCCAACCCTACCTTATCCTTACGCGTTTTTGAAAAAAAAACCTCCAATTCCGTTCTTCGTCTTCGTCGTGCTCTCCGTCTTCTTCAACTCCACACCACACTGTCGCCTTTCCCATGTCGCCCCCAAATCTGGTCTAATTGCGCCGCCCTCGTCCACCTCACCTCGACGTTCGCCGTTGTTAGTGTCGCTGTCTCCAAGGGAATGGCGACAACGTCGACGACCACCTCACCCTGCCTCCGTCGCCAAGCCGTCGCCAAGCCGCCTTCGCCAAGCCGCCGTCGCCAAGCCGTATTTGCTGCCCCGCCGTCGCCAAGCAGTCGTCCCTTCCTTAAGGTATTTTTTTAGCTTTAAAAATTTAATTATACAATTATTTGTTTATATATTTTTGCATTAAGTTAATATTTAATTTACTATATATGTTTTGTGTACATGTTTAAGTTGAAATGTTTCATTGTGATACACATTGTTTTTGAAAAATAGATTGTTTAATTATTTTGTGTTTGATTCTACATGTTCTGAGACGTTATAATATAGAAATAACATATATTGACCGACCTAGATACCCATTTAAAATTCACTCATTAGGAGTAAATTTTAAATAGCTCCCAGTTTGGAGTTGTTCTTGAAATGCTTCTCTCACTTAGGTAGTACATGTATTTCTTTCTCTCTGTTCCATCATTTTTTGGTTTGACGTTTCCTAAATGTGTTCTTCGAGTGCATATGTAATTACGTTACATCGTGCACTTGGAGAACCAATGGGAAATGCTGCCAAAATTTTGATAGGACAAAGAAAATGAAATACATTTACTAGTGAGGATGGCATTTCAAGAATGGGTTAGGATGGTGTAAAGAAGGACCATTTCTATAATGAAGAAGTGCTGTCGGATTTTTGTTGCATCTTAAGAAATGAAATATTGTGTTGCCTATATTTCTTATATGTTTGTGTGTGTATATAAAATGTGTATTAA